ATACAATTGTTATTCAGAAGAAATGCAGTAAACAAAAAAAATAAACAAGAGACTTATAAAAGATAAATACAGTCAAAAGTCGTTAATTCGGACACCCATAATCCGGAATGATCTATAATCCAGACCTCAAAGCTAAAATCTTTCTGCGCATGCGCCGCGTTGATGCATGCGCATAGGCGTTCACGCGTGCGCTCAAGACCTTTACGACTGCGCATATGCATCTGTGCCGTTGTATAAATGTCATAATTCCCAACTAACAACGCTTCGTAGTCAGACCTTGCTATGTCACAAAAACTAGTTTGGGCATTAAGCTTGAAGTTTTCAACTTTGTGCCGACTTGATATAAGAGTCGGCCAATCAGAGCATATACATGAAACTTATTGAGAGAGAAAGCTGTAGACACATACATGCATGCACAAATTTAGCTTCTCTAATTGGCTATGGCTTAGACCCTCTCTCGCAGGTGTGAATGGAACTCCCACATTTTATGCCTTATGATTATGCGTCTATGACATTTATACCATCATCTGAACAGAGCCTTAGGATGGCATACTAAGAAGATGCAATGTCTTGTGGGGATAAGCAATTTATACTCCTAAGCCTAAAAAAAACTTGGGGAAAAAAAGATCACATGACTTAAATTTGTTGTCTAATTGCTCTAACTTGAGGCACATTACGAGAGGAAAGCAAAGGTAGTAATCAGAATTATTTAAAAAATTTTATCCTTATATTTTTCTTAAAAATTCTGTAAAATAATAAAATTTTTGGCTTTCCTCAAATAAATATATATGGAAAAAATAATAGCCACATAATCACAGATTTCATTTTGTTATATTTTATTAACAAAATTTAAATTATTAAAAATCTCTTTCATGAAGGGAACATAAAACATCATGAAAACAATGAAAAAGAAGCAATATTTAAAAAAAGATAGTAGGCTTATTGATGAGGCTCCCATCAAAAGAATCGAACCCCAAAATATTTTCATTTGCTTCAGTGTCCCGTCTGAAAATTTCACTGATTTCAATGAATATATTTTTAAAAAAAATCTTTTATTTTCAAGTTCTTTCATGCAAAACGTCCAAATTTGGTACAAATCAAATTCATCCCCCTCTTTTTGATAGCTACAAATATTATATTTAACAGTTTTAATAGCTATCAGTATGTAAACAACATAATGTAACACCATAAAAGAAAAACATAAATGATGACATTTTAATTTTGGCATAGAGAAATACATATTTACCCCAAAAGAGAGCTTGTATTTCTACCTTCTACGTCTCAGAGTCAATAACTGAAATGTCCAGATCAGAACTGAGAAGAAAAGAACCATAATTAGTTTAATTAAGATACAATAACACACGCTGACCAAGTATTAATTTAGAAGTCAAGCAACAAAAATCAGCATCATATTTCGAAATATTCACTATTTGAAAATATAACGCTGATTTTGGTTGCTTGACTTCTAAATTAATACATAATTAGTTAACCATAATTAAGTAACTGTAAGAGTTTCAATATCATGCACAGCTAATATCTATTTTTGAAATAAACCAACTTACCTCAAGAAAGCCTGGTTTGTCTTAGGAACATTAGCTGTAACTTCTGGCGTAGAAAAGTCAAATTTTTCACTTCCAGACCTAAGAATGAAAGAAATAAACTGCTATAACATAATTAAAAAAAAAAAACATGAATAAATAAATAACACATAACAAATTTAAGCATTAAGCTATGTATGACTACCACCCATCTCAGACAGTGCGACAGATATTGCTGTATACTGTTTCGCCATACCTTGTTATATCATGCTGTATAACCGCAGTTTAGAAAAATTACAAAATGTGTTATTTATATCTATCTAAAATGGTACATTACTACATGATTTGTAAGAATAAATTAGAGGGCTCTGCGAATGAAATTCCTTCCAATTAAAAAATGTAGGAATAAAGAAAATGCAGGAATTGCAAATGCAGAAATGAAAAAGGGATTATATTTTTTGCACGGAATCCAGATGACATATTTTTCAACATTTTAGAAATTTCAATATTAATTTTAGGGGCCTAAAATATTAGGCCCCTAAAATATTTTTTAAATGTTCAGACAATCTTCCTATGAGAAGAATTCCTTTGAGAAGTACACATCTGAACCACAATTAAAAAACATGTACAAGAACAGAGCTGAGGACTTCTGTTTGCAGAAAGTCTGTCACATAACATATGAAAAGTTTCTTATTGGTAGATTTTTGATCAGACAGATATTTTAATGTTATACAGAGAAAGCATTCACTTCCTTTTCTTTTCATACTAGAGATAATTCAATTTGGACAATGGCAAAAAGGCTAGAAAGCAAGCCTGAGCGTATTGGTCCCATTCTTGGCACTAGTATGGTTTACGCTCAAAATACACGGCAGATATTTTCTAATTACCTGCATCCCAATATCAATTCAATTCAGCTTTTGGTGGAATTTACCATTTGTGACATATTTTTCAAAAACTACACTTCACAACATGCATACATGACAAATACACAGAACCATAAATAAACAAGCAATAATTTATATATAAATTTTACTAAAAATGATCATAAAATGTTCCAACGCTGAAAGTTTTAACATCCAAGTAAATGACATAATAAAAAAAAAAGCAAGTTGAACAGCGAGAGCACATGAATGCAATGTGCATACACCTGTAAAAATATACCATAGGTAACTGACAAAGCATTTCGTAGCAAACATATGACTATAAAATTTCCAATAATAGAATGTAATGATGGTGAATTCAATTTAGATCGCAAGAACATGCTCATACTTTTGAAAAGATTCAATTATTTCAGCAATTCCTTGTGAATTGGAATTTACCCTTTCAATATTTCCCAACAATTTAGTGTGAATGGAGGAATAAATTGTTATAACAGAATTGAACAATTATTAGCATCCCCTCATACACACACACAAACATACACATACAAAAAAAAAAAAAAAAAAAAAACAAAAAAAAAAAAAACATTACTTTGTAAAAAAAAAAAATCATCCGGGCAATGATTCTCCTTTGACACAGATGCAGTTGTATCAATAATTTCTGACCTTCAATAAAAAAAAAATACGCATATTTTACTTCGGAATTAACTTACTACGAAATCATAAATACGAGGTAGTCGATATAAAGAATAAAATATTTCTCACCTTTCGAAAACATCCGCTTGTTCGGAATCTTCCACATCTCGGGAATTTAATTTCATATTTTTTTCTTGAGCTTGATGTTTTCGCTGAATTCTGGATCTCTTATTAACACCAGGATGTTTTTTCGGTCGTCCTTGATATTTTCGCATATTTTTGCTAACTGACCACAGTACAAATAAATGTAAACAAACCGAGTGCGGAATAGCAATGCAATAGGGTTGCCGTAAACGTCCTTCCGCTGACAGCTGACACTGTTTAGTGAAAACTGTGTATAAAGGAATATATGAAACGCTTCTAAATATTATTTAGAAAAAAAATATAATTTATAACTGATATCAAAATCAATTACTTCGTGAATTTTTGCAGAAATAAGATTACAATGCTAAATTTTAACTCGTAGCGCCATCTATTGATGGCTTTCCAAACTACACATTAAAATTACGTATTTCAAACTAATTTTTTTAAAATATAATATTTAAGTAAATTTCATTCCAAACCTGATTCTAACATTTTGATTCCAAAATTGACCTATTGCTTTATATTTCTGCCAAATTTCACGCAACATAGTTTCTTAATTAGCGATTCTGCGTGTAAACAAATTTTTAGTATTGTAATGCTGCTGTAGTAGACCACCTTAACCGTGCCATATCTGAAAACTAATTCCAAATCTTAACCTTCTGCACTCAATATAGTTCTCAGCCAATCAGATTAATGAAAAATTTCACTACAAATACCATTGCAATCCAGCTATATACACTCTCTTTTGCTTCTTACACTTGCTAGCTAAAGAATATCTCTCGCTTGGCTGCTTCTTTTTATTATTAAAAATGTAATATACCAAAATGAAATTCGCAAAGTGTGGATTGCCTCTATTGTGTTAGCCATTCCAGAAATCAACAAGTAATGTCTTCCCTAGTCAAGCACTCATCTAATATAAAATTTCTACCTAAATTATCACCTCATGTATAAGTATATATGTTACTGTGAAGTCCAAATCCTGGAGAATGTCAATATGCTCATATTCACTAAGTTGCTTGGTGTATGTCCAAAATGCTTGCTAAATATCCTTATTTCTCAATTATGCGGGCAAATGTTCACATTCACCATAATAGGAAAAAGTTTAAGTAACAGAACATGTAAATTAACTGTTAAATGTAAAACAAACAATATATCTCGAATGAGAAAAGAAAATAATACCAATAATAAACTTAAGTATGAGATTGACATTATACAGTCTTATTTATTGCAACAGCAACTGGTAATGGTCTGAACGTATAAGAATATAACCAAATATTTGGTCTTCTATCGCCATATTTAGAGCATGTCAACATTCTCCAGTTTCTTTCACGGTAACACATAAAAAAATTAGTTCACCTAGAATTGTTCCTCATATCTTGTACTGTCACTGAGATATAACTTTTAGATTTACATTTAAAATGCACCCCCCCAAAAAAAATGAAGTGCCTGAATTTTATATTTAAACTGATAAATATTACAATGTTTATATTAATTTTCCATAAATTATTAGTTGCAAATAGTAAAAGTATTGACATATATTGATAAATAGGGATTGTAACGCATTCAATAATGCATGTAAATAATTTTACTAAATATTTTTCAGCACAAATTTATTAGCGACTAGTTTCACTAATGGACAGATACAAGTATGGGAACTCCCAGGAACTGTACTTAAGACTGGCATTGAAGAAATGAAGAAGTTACAGGCACTTGCTAAGAATATAGACTGAAGATATAAAATATTATACTTATTATAGATAACAAAATAGATACGATGATTTATGTAAAATATAATGCATCATTATTAACTGTACAGTAGACTTTATTTAATAATAAATTAATAAATACCATTAAATTATAAAACAATAAATAATTTAAAAAGTTATAGCATCCATCATATTTAGTTTTTTCATAACATTCATGTGTTGAGCACTATCAGATAGTTTTGTATTAATTTTAAATTTATGTTAAAAAAAAACTAAGATGCCAAAAAGTACCACAAGATTAGAAGAACCTAAGAAGAAAAACTAAAACAATCACATTTAAAGAAAGTGAGTCGGAAAGACATTTCACTGGAAAGTTCTGATAACAGTTAGCTTTCCCCTATGCCTTGTGGTTTAACAAAAGATTCAACTTCGTCAAGTTTGCATAAAATTTTAGCTTCAGTTTCTTGAAATCTTTTATTGATTTTTTCCCATATTTTCTTGTCTAACTCATGAACTTGCTCACTGATAAAGGCTTTTAATTTTTCTTCTAGATTTAAATATTCTTCATCTGTTTGTGTATTGCTACTAAGCCTACAAGAAAAAAAATATTTAATATGATTCATATGAAAATATTACTTCAAAAGGAATAACTATTTTTAAACAAGTAACAATTTATAACATTTTAAGTTCTCTACATACAACATATCTAGGTAATAAACACTTTTGCATGATGACACTTATAAAGGTTAATAACAACCAAAGGTACTTTTTATGCCGTCAAAGATGTAAGTGTATACATACATGTCTGTGGAACTATGACTATGGAGTTGTGCTTGTACTCCTTCATGACATTTGCCATATTTCTCACAATAGTCCATAAATTTTTTAAGTTATCAGATAAAAAAAGCAGCCACAAATGTATGGGTGACAGAATGAGAGTTGTTGGTAGAATGGAGGCAGACCAATCACAAATGCAGGTGGTGACAGAATACAACGCCCAGTGTCGTCTGAAATTTGTGAAAACAGTTTCAGGACACTGGATCCATATCAAGAAAGCCTGGAGAAAGTCGACCAAGATCCAGAATAACGAATAAGGATGGTTATTTGTCACTTTCAGTGCACTAATACTGCATTGCTACTGCTTCACAGTTCTTACATGAGCTGTATCCTGTCACTGGAAACCGAGTTTCATGGTCTACAGCTGCCTGAAGGTTTTTCATGACATAAGGCAGTACACCAGAAGACCTGCTATTTGCGACCCACTCACTGCAGCACTGTGCTTCTTACAGATAAATCTTGATTCAGGCCGGACACTGATTCTTGGCATACCTGTATCTGGAGAGAACCAGGATTATCCCTTTCTAATCAAGGAAAAGGATCATTACAGTGGTGGAAATTAATGATTTGGGCAGGCATTATGTTGGATGGCAACACACTCCTTCATGTATTGTTGCAACTCAACTGTTGCTGAGAACCGATGGCTGAGTGGCGTCATCGCAAAATATGAACTCTCGCTTAGAGATCGCACGAGAACTCGGAACGTAGAAGTCTCACTACGATTAAAACCCTTTTTATTTTTTAAATATTCTGTAATTCGCTTGCGTCTTCATTAAAATATGTTTGCTTAAAGAATGTAGTTATCATTTATGGATTATTCCCTTCAAGATTTTGCAGATAGCGATGCAAAGAGGAGATCAATTTCAACCAGTGGCCCAGGCAGAACCCATTGGGACAAGGTAAGCAGTTTTGTTTTACCTTGATTAAATTAGAAGTGGAATTAACGATAATGATAAGGAAATAAATAAGAAGATTGTGGCACCATAACGTGGGGCCATTGGGTTGAATTTGAACTGAAATTTAATAGATTTTGCTTAAGGCAAAAACACAGATTTATAAAAATTAGAAAAGAACTGATCTGCTATAAGAGCAGTAGTTATGAGGCTGATAAATAAGAAACAGAAATTGGCTAATGAGGGGGATAAAAATGTAATTGAAGAAATGGTTGCTTAGTTAATTAATAAAGAAAAACTAATCTTAGCGGATAATGGTATTGACACTTTCATTGATGTAACAAATTTAGAAGATGAAATAATCTTTAGAGAAGATTATAAAGGTAAAATTTTTTGGAAATTACACGCAAAAAGATATTTAGATACTAATCCACATAGCGCTAATTCTACTTCATGCGAAACTGTCACTGAATCGCAGAACAAAATTAAACTTACCAAATTGGCCCTGGAAAATTTTCGGGAAAGGATGTGTGTGCAGTTGGTTGGGTTGGGCACGATTTGAGACAGCTGTACACGAAAAACGAAAGTTACATGCGTAGTAAATTAAACTATTAATGTAATTTTACATCCGATGCAGAAACTGCAATACAAGGGTTGACTTAACAGCGGAGAATTACGAGAAGGCTGTGAAAATATTAAAGATGCTTGGACGCAAAGAACTATAATAGATACCCATATGAACAATTTATAATTCTGACTCTTTAAAGGTCTGCGATGTGACAAGCACTTAAAAAATTATATGATTGTTTGAAGACAAATTAGAGGATTAGAATCATGTAATATTTTACCGGATTATATAGTACCTTATTATACAATATTAATTAGGTGATTCCGAAGATTTACCGCTAGAATTTAATAGGAAATATGAAGATGATAATCAGACAAAAATACAAATTTGCTAATTTTTAAGAAAGAAATAGAAGTGGGAGTACAGGATGTAATTAAGCCAACAGATTCTGAAGTCGAAAAGAAATCCCTTTTGAATAAGCGGCAGTTTCGAGAACGTTTTCGAGACAGCGAAAGAAATCGAGATTATAATAAGGGTAGAACTCCTTCAGCGGCAGCGTTAAAGACATCACTTTCTAATAGCTGTTTATTCTGTTCTGAAAACCATACATCAGAATCATGTCAAAAGACTGTGCCAGAAAAAAAGGAAGCATTAAAGCAAAGTGGAAATTGTTTCGTGTGTCTCAAAAAGTATCATTTAGCGAGGAACTGCAAATCGAAACTAACTTGTGGAATTTGTGATTGACGACATCATACATTGATACACTCTGACGAAACAAACGCGTCAGACAAGAGGCCCGTCCAAGGGGCAGTAGTCTCTTCTGTTTCCGATTGCGCAACATTAAATAACTCAATTCTTCTGACAGTACAAGCTGAAATTATAAACACAGGTAATTGGTGCCAGCAAAGTGCTCGCACATTGTTTGATTTTGGATCGCAGCAAACATTTATTACGGAGGACATCTGTAAGAAATTAAAACTTCTGGTTATTGAAAAAATAAAAATACACAACATCTGAAGCGCAGAATGTTAAAAAAACCAGTCTCATTTTACGTAATTTGAAGTATCAATATGAAATCAAAATAGAAGCTTTAATTATTCCTGTCATTAATGGATCACATATTCATTCCCCTAGAAATGAAATAGTTAATCTTATTAAAAAACAGGGCATACAACTTTCCGATAAATGGGGACAAGGGAATAAAACACCGAAAATTTCTTTGCTGATAGGAGCGGATTTTTATTGGAAAAAATTTACGGGTAAGGTTCACAGACTGTCTAATTCCTTAGTAGCGGTTGAAACAAAATTGGGTTGGACCATTAGTGGAACAGAAAGGGCTTAACTAATTTCCTCAACTAATGTGAATACGATGAAGGTTGTGGTACTATAATAATAGATACACAGAACGAATTACTGTCTAGTTTGCTGAAAAATCTCTGGGAGCTCGAATCTATGGGGATAAATTACAATTCAGATAAGGAACTCGAATTAAAAAATAATTTAGTTTTTGATAATTTCAAAATGTCTGTGAAATTTTAAAACAATTGTTATATTGTCCGTTTTCCTTGGAATCATAATTTAAATGAGCTTGGAGATTGCTAAAATTAGATTTAAGAGGTTAAGTCGTAGATTTCAGAATAATCAACAGTTCTATGACAGATATCGAAATAATTGATAAATACTTAAAAGGAGGAATCGCCTAAGAGACCAAACATTGAAATTGGACCAAAAACCTATTTTATGCCACATCAAGACGTTATAAAAGAAAACAAGGAAACTAAAAAACTCTGTGTGGTTTTTGACGCTTCGTCACATGCGGAGCATTGTTTGTCATTAAATGACTCTTTACATTCAGGTTCCAAGATGTGTACAGACATACTCGAATTGCTCCTTAAGTTCCGTCAGAATCGAATTGCGTTTACAGCTGACACCGAGCAAGCATTCTTGCAAATTTCTCTTGCTAATGAAGACAGAAATTGCAGTCAAGTTTCTATGGAACGATGGTGAATTAAATGGAACCAAAATAAAGGCTCTTCGTATGAATTTTTGGAGCAACATTTAGTCTGTTTCTTCTCAGAGCAACTCTTAATGTACACGCTTACAAATACAAGTCACATTACCGAACGTTTTTTCCATGCTAACTGAAAATATGTATGCTGACGACTTGATCGATGGAACAGATGAAGAATCAGAAGCATTCGAGGAATCGGAACATATTAAACACATACTGAAAGAAAGTGGATTTAACATGCGGAAGTGGAAAACAAATGAAACGAATTTACAAAAAGTATGGAATGAAGAAGATTTTTCACAAGATTCGACTTGTTCTAAAGTATTGGGGTACATATGGAATAGATCAAACGATACATTTTTGATAGAAATTGAAGATTTGGTAAAAGATGCCAAAAGGATAGATAACATACCCACTAAAAGGGAAATCTTGAGATTTGTAGGATGCTTCTTTGATCCACTGGAGTTTTTAAATCCATACACCATTCGAGCTAGGATTTCATTGCAAGATTTATAGGAACAAAAGATAGCATGGGACACTGAAATACCAGAAAATCTCGGAAAGAATTGGCAAAGCTGGCATGATGAATTAGCTCATAATTCTAGTTATACCAAGACATCAGTTTGCAGGTGCTGACAAAGGGGATATATAGGATGGTTTACAGTTTCACAGATGCGAGTCAGAAGGCTTATGGCTGTTCTGTATTTTCGTTATTCGAAAAATGGAGTCATCCATACAAGCTTTACATCGAAGTCACGAGTAGCACCTTTGAAAAAATTATCACTTCCCAGATTGGAATTGATGGCTGCTTTGATAGGCTCCTGCTTGTCAAAATACATTCAAAAGAAACTTCAGAACATTGATTTAATTGTATATATGTGGACTGTTTCTAGTACAACGTTGATGTAACGTAAGTGATGTGAAAAGGTGGAAGGCATTTGTTCAGAACAGAGTGAAGGAAATACAGAAGAATTCAGATGTCTTGAACTGGAGATATATGCCTGGTGAAAATAATCCAGCTGATTTGCTAACTAGAGGTGAAAATGTCAAACATCTGAAGCAGAATAGCATATGGTGGTAAGGGCCCATGTGGTTAAAAGAAGAACTCGAACACTGGCCAAAACCGAATTTATGTTCCACAAAGAACATTGAAGATTTCAACAAGGAACTAAGAAAAACATCGAAGGAAGTTTTCGTAAATTCATGTGTTACCGAACCTTCCGAAGATTTATTAAAAGTCCAAAATTACAGCAATTTACACCCAATTTACCAAATTACTGCGTGGTGCTTAAAGTTCATCAACAATGTTAAAAATACATCGAAATTATCAGGATGTTTGCAGGTTACCAAATTGGAAATGGCAGAAACTTATTGGATCAAACGTGTTCAGGAGCGAAATTTCACAAATGAAATATGGGCATTGAAGAACAATGAGGAATTAATTTCAGAATCAAAACTAACGTCCCTCAATCCATTTGTAGACGAAAGTGGTGAAATTCATGTTGGTGGACGATTAGAAAATTAAAATTTGGATTACAAACAAGCACATCCAATCGTTTTGCCTGACAAAGATCATTTGACTGATCTAATTATTCTTCACAGTCATCAGGTGGTAGGGCACGGAGAAATAGCAGATACTTTAAATCAAATAAGAGATAAGATTTAGTTGCTGAAGGTTCGTAAAAAAATTAAAAGTGTTCTGTAAAATTGCAGTGTCTGCAAAATATTTCGAACGAAACCTGTCATGCAAGATATGGCACTTCTCGCATCAGACAGATGCCGAGAAGCCTTTCTGTTTGAGAACTCCGGAATCGATTACGCTAGTCCACTGTACGTCAAAAGTGGAAGAGAATTATCTAAGACATGTTTTACTGTTTACCTGTGCTGTAACTAGAGCCGTGTATTTAGAACTTGCAGCTGACCTTTCCACAGAAAAATTTTTGCTTGCATTTAGATGGTTCATAGTGAGACCATAACACCAAAACCTTTAAAAGAGTGAAAAAAGAATTAGAGCTATTGAACAAGGTGATGAAAAACAATAAAGTTCAAGACAAGTTCTCTAAGCAAGGAATCAAATTGAAATTTACAGTTGAGAGGGCGACATGGTGGGGAGGCTTTTGGGAGCGTATGGTTCAATCTCTGAAAGCTCTTCTGAAGAGAATCCTAGACAAATTGTCCTTGACATTCAGGGAATTAGAGACAGTCGTAACAGAAGTGGAAGCTATATTGAACTCCAGACCTTTAACATTTACATACTCGGATCTAGGAAGCCAGAATCTTTGACCCCTGGTCACTCTTAATAGGAAGACGGTTGCTATCATTGCCGCAAGGAAGCTCTAAATTAATTTCAACAAAGGAGAGTCTTACATGTCAATTTAGACATCAACAGATACTAGTAGAAAGAATCTGGAGAAACTGGAAACAGGATTATTTGATGAATTTAAAATCTGCTCATCATTTCAAACTGGCGAAAACAGGAACCTGTTTGAAGAAAGGAACTATTGTTTTAGTGCATGAAGATAAAATTCCAAGGCTGATGTGGAAAATGGGCATCATAATGGAAATCTTTCCTGGAGGAGATGGCAAAGGTGAGAGCCTTTGCTGTCTGCTTGCCCAATGGCCATATGATTAAAAGACCAGTGCAACTACTATATCCAGTGGAGCTGGAATGTAATAAGGACAATTACGGCAATTGTCCTTCTGGGCCGGAGGATGTTGCAACTCAACACTTGCTGAGATCCGATTGCTGAGTGACGTCATCGCGAACTATGAACTCTCGCTTAGAGATCGAACGAGAACTCGGAACAGAGAAGCCCAAATTAAAACCCTTTTCATTCTGTAACTCGTTTGCCTCTTCATTAAAATATGTTTGCTTAAAGAATGTATGTATCATTTATGGATTATTCCCTTCAAGATTTTGCAGATAGCGATGAAAAGAGGAGATCATGGGCCTTGGCAGAACCCATTGGGACAAAGTAAGCAGTTTTGTTTTACCTTGATTATATAGTTAGAAGTGTAATTAACAATAATGATAAGGAAATAAATAAGATGTATTTTGAGAAAGGTTTCCTGACTGCCATGAAGATCTTAGTGCCCTATATCCAACTTTTCAGGGGCACATTTCTGGTTCTGGGTTCCTGTTAAAACTGATGACAACGCTCATTTACATAAGACTCAGCTAGTTGACGATTACCTGGAAAGTGAGGATATTCGGTGAAAGGATTTGCCAGCCAGATATCCTGACCTTAATCCTATAAAGCATGTCTGGGACACTCCTGGGAGGACAATTTTATCTTGCCGTCTCTTTCCAAGAACTATTCCGGAGCAGAAAACTGCCTTGCTGAAGGAGTGGAATTGACTGCCACAGCGACTACTCAACTACTTCCTAACCAGTATCCCGTTACACTGCATGACCTGTTTGGCTGCAAAAGGGGACCATACCCTATATAAGATTAATTTCCAGTTCGATATCACAACATGGATTTTGGATATCCCTGCACTAAGCTTTACTGATAATAATGCAAACATAAAATGATTTTTGAATAGTATGTCTCTTTTTCTATTATCAATGCATATTCAGACTAAATTTCATTAAAATAATTTCTATCCATAAGTTTTATAGAAATTCGACATAATGTGCATATTCTCGTAATTTCGCACACACGTATACATACTCTGTATTACTTTTTCTTTACTAGAAAGAATTAACATGCTAAATTATGCATAAAGACATTATAGAAAATTAATTTTTTTAAAAAAGCTTCATAATAAACATATCTGTATTATAATATATCAATACAAGAAGTTGAAAGAGAAAAATGTACATTCCAAATCAATATTGATACTATTAAAACTCATTATTGTTATTATTAAATCAATATTGATACTATTAAAACTTCCAATTCCTAATTCTTTAATTTTTTCTAATAAACTAATAAATAAGAAAAATGATTATTGATACTTTTTTTGCAGTTCTTGCATATTAGCACAACCACTTTGGTGATTTTTAAAAGTTGAAAAAGAAACTTATAATTATGCATAAAATTATTTATTAGATGTATACATATTATATTACACATGTTGTATGAACTTAAATCCATTTAGTGCGAATACAAGTTATTATTACTTGCGCAATTGCTGCAAAGTTAGTTAATAATAATTTATTTCCTAAACCGTATTGATTAATTGATTATATTATCTCCTAAGTTTAATTAAAGTAGAATTATTTTAAAAGTGTACATCCATACTGGTAAGTTATATTTTGAAAGATGTTTTGAAGTAATTTGAAAGCAAAATGTTAATAATGTTTTAACGGGGACTGGAGTTAAAATCATCACGAAGATAATATTACAATTGTAAAAGTAAAAATTAAAACATGTAATTATTGTCATTGATCGGAAATTAATGAGTTTTTCTTTCGTTCTGCTGGAAATTTCATGAAGATCACTATAATGATTCATCAAAACATTTTTCTCTTTCGAAATTTTGCAACAAAATATTGTTTTTCTTAAGCATACATTTTAAAACTGAGTTTTAGGCAAAAATACTACATTTTGTCTATAAAAATCATTGGAACTTGGAATAAAACAAAAAATGCACATGAAAACTGTAATGTTGCTAAAATGAAAGAAATGTGATATCCTGATTTTTTTTTTTTTAATTTGGCGCATTCGTAAAATCTGATGACTTCTATTAAGATACTGCTAATACATAAGTAGTACTTTTTTCTCAATTTTAATTAATGAAATTTTCATGTTTTCAGATTTTTCAAATGAGGGTGTTTATCATTTCAAATACATAAATTAGTCCTACTGGGAGTATATCTGCAATCCTTACATTGAGACTTTATGGGTATTTTGTATGTAAATGATTCATGTGATAGCAATAAAATGTTTCAGACTCTTATTACCTAGAACATATTTGATTATCATAGTTAGGTAAGTTCTGCATATTAGCATATATTAGTCAGAAATTTCTGTATCCTTTCTCCTTAACTAGGCATAAAATAAATTACTAAGCTGATAGCCACAAGTGCAAAATTTTAATTATTATTACACATAGCTATTAAACAAAAATATCACACAGTACACTAAATTACATATATACATTTTCTAAATGATTACATAAAAACAAGCCACTCAGAATTACTTTATGTTTAAAGAATGTAAAACCAATGGGCATATGAAAGTTTTATAAAATTTATTATTTAAATAAATTTTTTAGGTAAAACTAGGTAAACTATTTTTTAGGTTTATTTGTGACTAATAAAAAATTGAACACATTAATTTTCAAAACTAATTCTTACCTTTCAAATATAATAGGCGATGTGGATACTGATCTCATAACAGGAGCTTCTGCTGGAACATTATCATTAACATTTTCTACAGCTGCAAATTTATTTGCATTGATTGTATCTAATGTTTGAAATTCTTTTAAATTATTCTGGTTATCTCTTTGTTCAGCAGATGGTACCAAAGAGTCTTGCATATAAGGAGTATGAGAATTTTCAGGTGAAGGAGACTTATTTTTAACCAAATTAGACTGCTGAAGGCTGAATATTAAATTAGCTATATCTGATGGACCAAATACAGAAGAATTTTGAAACTTTTCTACTAGCTGTTTAAAAGCTGCAGCTTTGTCACTGAGAGCAAGTCCCATTTCTCCAAGCCTTTGTTCTACTGCAGCTAAAGGGATGGTCATTTGACTCTGGGGATCAAATCCACTTTTTACAATATTTATTTTCACTCCATACAGCCACATTTCACTTACTGATCGTAATAACACAAACTGAAAGAACAAGTAAATGCCAATATGAAAATAGAATATTGAAAAATAAATATAAGATTGAATAAAATGCAAGATCATTATTAGGAAATATGTCAAAGTCTCCTCAATATTTTAATTTATTAAAAATTTATTGTAAAAATTATATTGAACCAATAAAAATTAGATACATGCCAGTTTACTAGTGCTTGATCACAAAGTTTAGTGGAATGCCAAAGGACATAGTAAACCCAAAACCATAAGAAAAATAATTTATTATTATTTTTTTTTTTTACATTCAGTTCCATCATAATAATAATAACTTTCCTATGAGCTCTAAAGTTTAATATTTTTCTTCAGTTCACATGTCCTCATGCTTGTAAAGCACATGTGCATCCTCACAAGTTAGAAATCAAACCTAAAACTAAGTAATAAGAATTGTAATATTGTTTACTTTCATTTATAAGAAATACTCTTTTTTAGGGTGGGATTCAAAACGAAATTTACTATACAGTGAAAATAAAGCTGTTGCATTCCTCCCCCCCAAAAAAGGAATATTTTACCTCCATCAAAATTTGTGAAAACAGGAATGATATGAAGTTATGTTCCACTGCAGAAGTCAAATATAGATACAATGTGAAAAATTACCAGAGAAAGAAAGGTTCTGGTAATTCACAGTCATTGAATATTATTGGATTTGCATAGGTTACCAACATCTTGAGTTGTAGCTAGCAAAATTCAAGTGGCAATAATGAGTGAATCATAAGATATGCAATGTCTATTATGCTATTGCTAACGGAACACCATCTGGATAATAAATTACAACATTTCTCAGTGAGAATTCATATTTTTAGAAATAAATAAAAATAGGCTGTTTCTTTTTACATTTTTATAAAAATTCCATTACTTAGAAGTGCCTTTTTTATGGCACCTAAACTTGGCAACAATTTTTTTTAGTACCCCCCCAAAAAATACTTGCTTTTAAAATTTTATTGATCAATTGTTTTTGTACAGAGTTTTTAGCATGCCACCATTTTGAAAAGATTGATGCCTTTTACCCATTAGCTTGGCAAAAAATTAGTTGGAAATGCTCTCTAAGTTGCCAATGAGTTCACAACTTTTTTTTTGTAAGAGGTGTGGATAAACAATACCCTTTTTTCAATTATTTATAGCTCAGTACTTTTTACTGGTAAGTAAACTGGTCAACCTAATTAATTACATAAGTCTGCATTAAAAAAGTTAGCCATTCTAAGTAGAAGATATTTGCATAACCAAATAACAACAGTAAGACAGGAAAGATTAAATTAATGTAAAAGGACCACAATTAAAAAAAAAAATAATTACTTGCATAAAGAGTGTAGGCTAAATATCACTTGAATAAAACCTTTTGGTTTTCCTTTATCAAAATTATTAATTACATCTATATATACAATTAAAATTTTATTTCATTAGAAGTTATACAGTTATGCAAGCAGACAAAATGATAGTGCTTTTTTTCTTGGGGGATATTCCTTTGTTAACTAATATTTTAAAGAACATATATATTTAAGGAAACATACCTTGATAGAGCATAGGTTTAATGGCTTGTCTAAAACAACATCTCCTCTGAAAACTACCATGTCTTCTGCTTCTTCTAGAAGTTCATTTTTGATAGTTTTCAAGTACTCACCATGATGCCCATAAACTTCAATAACTCTGCTTTCACATAAAACAGATACATGCGATATCTGATTTGGTGGTTGGCATGATAGAAGTAATTGACATGCTGGAATAGTAGGATAAGCACCATCTCCTTTGTCTGGAGCTTCAAGCATGACACAGTTTTCTACCATAATTTCATCTTCCAGGTCAATGCTGTGAAGAAAAGCATTTTATAAACTGTAAAGGAATCCTACTTCTGAAGACAACTGATACATTTGAGAAGAAAAGACATATTTACATTTGACCCAGAAAATTGATTACAAACCATTTGTATAAATTGCTTACCTGATTTATTCATATTACCACACTTTTACTAAATAACAATACTGATTATGGATAATGTTACCATGAACACAATGCATGCAACATGTGCAATTCAGATTGAGTGAACAGATAGAAGGATATTAATTTAGAAGTCAAACAACAAAAATCAGTGCTATATTTGCAAAATGCAAATATTGCCGATTTTTGTTCTCTGACTTCTAAATTAACATTTATTCTGCATGTTATTTTTACTTAAAAGATAGAAGGATGTTATCAGAAAAGTGATTTTATTTTGGTACTTAAGCATTATCGTAACCACTTTAGTCAAAGTCACTAAAGTTCCAGAATATGCCAAATTTTGTTAACCATGCACATAACAATTTTCAGGCAACCTTGTGCATGACAAATATTCAGTTTCCAGCACCGGCATTTTCATATGCACTCTTTTGGCTGTACTGCAATTTCCAATTTTTTATAAAAAAATTATGATTATTTTTTGTCTTTACACAATTTTTAAATTTGTGCTCATGATCACAGCTATAGTTCCTATTACTGTTCCCTTTTTTGAACATTTATTGTGAATACTGTATTGCTGCAAAGAAGCACTTTGCGTTGATTTTGTACATAAATACATTTTCCTCTCGTGTTATTTTTTTGCGTTCCTGCCTTAACCCGTTACTTTAGATCCTACATTCGTATACAGTACAAAGTCTTTAATCCGGACTCATCGGGACTTTGGCGATTTTGGATTAGGGGTTTTTCCGGATTATAGATCATCAATTTAAATCTTGGTAAAAGAGCATGTAGAAATTATAAAATTAAAAATATGAAAACTGTATTTATGAAATAAAGAGCAATTATGATCTATAACTGGGTATCAAAATTTGCAAGAAAAAAAAAAGCTTAATATTTATTTGTTTACTTTATTAAATATTTCTTTCAATGCGCGCATAGTCGAAATTAGAAAATTGTAACCAGAAAACTATTTGATGTGTATTTGTGATATTTATAATGTCGAGGAATTTGATTTAAATCATATCAAAGACGGAGTACATTGAGATGAAATACTACATTTAGTAAGGAATTATAAGCCGAATAAAATAAAAACATCTGCTCTGAAGATGAGGATAATGCTGACAGATCAACTTCCAGTACATTGTGTAGTGCGATGTTTCCCCCTCCTGCAGAGCAGCGTGAAATTGATAAACAGATTTCAGAAGGGTTAGAGAAGCAAAGGATATGCCTTTATCCATTTTTTACAAGAATTCCACTTTTTTGTTTGATGGACATCGAAACATGCTTTCGCTTTGTAGATTCTTTGGCAGCTCCAGAATCGGAAACTCTTTTTGACATGATCTAAAGTTCAACGCAATCTGCAACATTAACTGAAATAGATAATTAGATAATTTCAGCCTAGCTTGTACTGTCCATTATACATTAAAATGCACATGCGTAAAGGTACTATGCGCATGCACAGAAAGTTTGTAGCTTTGAGGTCCGGATTATAGATCATTCCGAATTAAAGATTTGTACTGTACAAAAAATGCACGTTTTGTACACTCCACTACCCCTCCAAGTTTGTCCCATGATCTATGAAACACCCTGTATATCACATAGTTAAAGATGAAAGTTTTAAAAAAATAAAATATGTATGTATTTCCACAATATTACATCCTCGAAATGTATTCCAGGTTATTCAATCATCATCATGTCCGGTTTATGTTGGATATTCCGGATTCTTTTATGCACATAATTTCCCTTAATAAGGTTAAGAAGATTATTGTTATTCTTTCTTTTTTTGTGTGTTTAAGTGCAAAAATAGTGTCATGCAAGTAAACAAAGAAATGTAATCCTGAACTGCATAACTGCAGGGAAACAACATTTGTAATAAACACTTCTATGGCTTTTAATGACATTATGCAACTGTTTAAATTTCGGAAAGAGACCTATCAAATACAATAGGATAAGGTTAGTTGAATTTGTCTGTATTTATTCCATGAAATGTTAAATCATTGGGCAACTTGAGCACTATCTATAACAATGATTTCAAACTGGCGACCCCTGAAGCAATTTTATGCAATTGGCGAATGTATTTCAGTTATGCATTTGTTGCAAATACAGTGATGCAAAGATTTTTATATTTTACTTATTTGAAGTTCGAGTTCACATTACATTCATTACTATTGAACATGAACATGAGTAACACGTCAAAAAAAAAATCTATAAATATAAATTTTCAAAGATTTGAAGATACGAATTTAATTAACTTTTTTTTTTTTTGAAAAATACAGAAACATTCGCTCATGTTTGGCTAATAGTTTAGATTTTTCATTGATATCCCAATTTTTAATCTACAAAATCTTCTATACAAAGAAATCAGTGGAATATGCTTATAACTTTATACTAACTTATTAGCATTTCAAAATCTGATAAGCTGGAAAAAGACCATATTTTATTCTATAAAAATAAAATCATTTACTCTCATTAGAAGTGTAAATTAGTTTATTTGTTTATAATTAAAAAATTTAATAAATTTTTAAATTTAATTTATTTGAAATAATATGTGTAATACACATGGATAATATGACCATAAGTATGGAAAAGAGCATATTTTGTAATGCCAATTTGTGCAATTCTCTGATTTTTTTGGTTGATCTTTGATTTGGTAATTGGCGATTTTTTGGCAAAATTTGGCAACCACTCTGCTACAGCAACACTCTTTTTTTTTTTTCGCCGCCATTTTGTCTTCAAGAAGTAAGACATGTTTCTTTTCTTTTATTTACTGAAAACTTTTTCCAACATCTACTAGTCGAATTACACTTAGCTAGAAATTTATGTCAAACTGCTTAATCATGACAAATATTAACTGCAAAATTGGAAAAGTGCACAATCGCAAACTCCTTGCGCATTTTTTCAGATGCACATACCATAAACCATTACACGTCGACTTATTTTTCTTAAAAAAAAATCCCACATTGCACAAAAGCATTGCCACACTCTTAACTTATCCATCTACACTGCTATTTTCTCATAAATTATAAAATTGCACGAAAATGCAGGAAATTTTGTGATCTTAAACTTGGTAAAATGCACAGATATGAATTCTTGATCGCGAAAGCATATCCCTTTCCAAGGATGACATTTCCACGAAAAAATAAATCAATATCCAAAAACTTTTACCTTTAAATTAATTATTATATTATAAACGTCACCAACGAATTTATACCGCAAACATTAAAAATAGTACAAACTAGTGTCAAATATTTAAATTATTTCCATACACGTTTACTTCAACTGAAACGTATACCAAATTGGGCTGATCTTTGGAATATGGTAACAGGTAATTTGGCGACATTTTGGAGGTGATAAAGGTTACTACCTAAGACTTTGGGAATAATGTGAGAAGTACTCATTCCGATTACGCATTATTTTGTGTGAGGGAAATGAGAGATCATGAGATATATCATGTGACATTAATGGACGAATCACTGTTCTTTAACCAGAAAAGAGGATATATTTAAAAAATATCTGCTGTACTTTATAGCAGTAGTTTCTTCTATTTCTGTGAAACAGTGTTGTTTAATTTGGATCCCTGGCGTATATAAGGTAAATCCAAATTTTTATTGCGTTCATGTGTAATTGAAAAGAATTGCTTAATTGCGTATAAGTTGATGTCAATATGTGGGAATGAAATGAGATTATGTGAAAGGAAGGATATTACAGATAGTTTGAATTGCGGTGCAAGAAACCTGGTGAAACTGGACATTTGTGATCCGCCATGCACTCAGATCAGTATTAGTAAGTAGTATTTTAATTATTTGAGGATATTATTTTTAGCATTGTTTAAATGTAAGGAGTAATAAATTAATATGGTAATTGGAAAATTATTATTAGCAATGATTTGTTTAAAGTAATTAGGATTGTAAGCGAATTTTTATTAATTTAATGTATGAGCTTATTGTATTTAAGTAGGTTTTTGAATTTATATTTTTAATTAAATGATAGTTATTTTGTGAATTATGTTTTGTAGAATTTGGTATACGTTTTAGTGAAGTAAATGTGCATGAAATAATTTAAATATTTGACACTAAATTTTGTAACCATTGTAATGTTTGCGGTATGAATTCGTTGGTGACTTTTATAATATAATAGATAATTTAGAGGTAAAGTTTTGGATATTTTATGTATTTATACGTGGAAATGTTCAATCTTTGGAAAGGGTATATACTTTTTCGCGATCAGGTAATTTCATATATGTTCTTTTCCGGATTAAAGATTCAGAAAATTGTCGTGCATTTTCGTGAATTTTTCTAATTTTGAAGAAAAAAGCAGTGTACATGGATATAGTGAAGAGTGTGTGCGCAATGCCATTTTTGTGCAATTCTGGATGTTTTTTTAAGTAAAAAATAAGTCGACGTGTACATGGTTTAGTGATATTTTAATTAAATGATAGTTATTTTGTAAATTTTATGTTTGTAGGAGTTTGGTATACGTTTCAGTTGAAGTAAACATGCATGGAAATAATTTAAATATTTGACACTAAGTATTTGTAACCATTTGTAATGTTTACGGTATGAATTCGTTGGTGACGTTTATAATATAATAGATAATTTAGAGGTAAAAGTTTTTGGATATTTTATTTATTTTATACGTGGAAATGTTCATCTTCGAAAAGGGTATATACTTTTTCGCGATCAGGTAATTTCATATATGTGCTTTTTACCAGGTTTAAAGATTCACAAAATTTTCATGCATTTTCGTGAAATTTTTCTAATTTACGAGAAAAAAGCAGTGTACATGGATATAGTGAAGAGTGTACGCAATGCCATTTTTGTGCAATTCTGGGATGTTTTTTTAAGTAAAAATAAGTCGACATGTACATGGTTTATGTGTATGTGTTATTGTGAGAAACGCGCAAGGAGTTTGCGATTGTGCACTTTTTCCCAATTTTGCAATTAATATTTGTCATGATTAAGTAGTTTTGTTACATAAAATTTCTAGCATAAGTGTAATTCGGCTAGTAGACTGTTGGAAAAAGTGTTCAGTAAATAAAAAGAAAATAAACATGTCTTTACTTCGTAAAGACAAAATGGCGGTGAAAAAAAAAATAGAGAGTTGCTGTAGCAGAGTTGGTCGCCAAATTTTCGCCAAAAGATCGCCAAGTTACCAGAATTCAAAGATCAACCGCACATACATTAAATTAATAAAAATTATATTACAATCCTAATTACTTTAAACTAAATCATTGCTAATAACAATTTCCAATATACCATATTAATTTATTTACTCCTTACATTTAGAATAATGCATAAAAAATATCCTCAAATGATTAAAAATACTAACTTCTGAATCTCATTACGTGGCACCACACTTCCTACAGAAAGAGTTCCAATCGTGCAGTACTACTGCTAATTTCTAAATCCGAAATCCGTAGTCAACGGGCTGTCTATTCACCCTAATAGATTAATAAAATTTCACCCATACTCAACTACTTTCACAAAACCACGTCCCTTCTTACACAAAATGTCCATTTTCACCAGATTTTTGCACCCCATTCAAACTTATCTGTAATATCCTTCCTTTCACACAATCTCATTTCCACATGTTGGACATTCATACTTATCCGCAATTAATCCTACACTCGTATACCATTCAACCAATTCTTTTGAATTATCAGATAAATGCATTAAAAATTTTGAATTCACTTTAGATAGCGCCATGCGATCCAAAAATTAATCAACACTCGCACAACACACAATGAAGCTTAATACTGCAGCTATAGTACTGCAGATGTTTTTCCAAATTTATCCCCTTTTCCGATTAAAGAACTGTAATTTATTTGTCCATTAATGTCACATGACATATCTCACGATCTCTCATTTCCCTCACACAAAATAATGCATAATCGGAACTGAAAACTTCTCACATTATTCCCTAGGTAGTAACCTTTATCGCCTCCAAAAGGTCGCCAAACTACCTGTTACCATATTCCAAAGATCAGCCATTTTTTTTTTTTAAGTGAAAATAGGTCGATGTGTACATGGATATCGAGTTTGTACAATTCTTTTACTTGTTATTTTGGATTTGTGTATCTGCGAATTTTGGCCCAAAATCTGCCGCTACACAAAGCCAAAATAACAAGTCAAAGAACTGCACAAAGTCGGTATCCATGTACCATCAAAAATCGCCAATTTATGCCAATGGGCATCAATAAATATATTTTTACCCAAAAATGTTTGAAAAAACCATCTTGCACTTTTTAAAGCAGCATAAAAATATTTTTCAGTCATCAAATATGGTGGAATCTTTTAAACCATGACATTTTCCTTTATGATTGATTGACACACACTTAAGATTGTAAAGACATTTTGGTTAATCTTTACATTATGGTAACTTGGCGATTTTTTGGCGAACATTTGGCAACCAACTCTCCTACAGCAACCCTCTATTTTTTTTCCCCTCGCCATTTGTCTTCACGAATAAAACATGTTTCTTTCTTCTCATCTACTGAACACTTTTCCAACAATCTACTAGCCGATTACACTTATGCTAGAAATTTCTGAAAAACTGCTTTCATGACAAATTCACTGCAAAATTGGGAAAAGTCACAATCGCAAACTCCTTGCGCATTTCAGAATAGCACTCACATAAACCATGTACCGTCGACTTATTTTTACTTAAAAAAACATCCCAGAATTGCACACAAATGGAATTGCGCAACTCTCTCTATATCCAACTGCTTTTTCTCAGAAATTAGAAAATTTCACGAAAATACATTCAATTTCTCAATCTTTAAACCCGGTAAAACGACATATATGAAATTACCGGATCGCGAAAATATTTACCCTTTCAAATATGAAATTTCCACAAAAAATAATAAAATATCGAAAACTTTTACCTCTAAATCATCTAGTACATTATACATGTACCAACGAATAACCGCAAGTATTACAAATACTTGTATCAAATATTTAAAGTATTTCCATGCACGTTTATTCAACTTAACGTATACCAAATTCCTACAAACATAAAATTCACAAAATAATTATATTCATTAAAATATAATTAAATTCAAAAACACACTTAAAATATAAATGAGCACAACATTAATTAAAAATTACCTTACAATCCTAATTACTTTAAACTAAATCATTGCTAAAACAATTTTCCCAATAATACCAAATTCCTTTCCACCTTACATTTAGAACAATGCATAAAAATAATATCCTCAAATAATTCAAATACTAACTTACCTAATCTTCTTCAGAATCTTGAGTACGTGGCGGATACACTTTTCTAATTCATTCAATAAAATTGAAAGTTTTTTCTGCGACTTTTTTCCATACTTCCTCTGCTAAATAAAAGCAAACTTCTCTTTATCCAATGCCTAAATCCCATTCGAATTCACTTTACATAGGGCCATGGGATCCAAAAATTAATCAACACTGTTTCACACAACACACTATGAAGCTAAATACAAAATGCTAAACGCAATAAAAATTTCCACTTTTTTCCCCGATTTCCCCCTTTTCCGATTAAAGAACCGTATCGTCCATTAACATCACATGACATATCCCTGATCTCTCATTTCCCTCACGCAAAATAATGCGTAATCGGAACTGAGTACTGCTCACATTATTACCAAAGTCCCAGGTAGTAACTTTTATCGCCTCCAAAATGTCGCCAACTACCAGTTACCATATTGTAAAGATCAACCGACATTTTAAAGTAAGATAACAATTTCAGTTCTGTTAAGGGAACAAGCTAAATTCTTTGGACTTCATAACAGATATAAAAGCATAAAGGATACTACATTATAATTTAACGAATACAGTTCAGAAAATTTCTCTTAAATTTGTACAGCTATTTGTGTATTTTTTAGAAATATTGCTCACTAAACAATATGCAGTTTTGAAACGTTTTATTCAAATCTATGCAACATTAAATAGCAATTGTATTTTAGAATTTAAACATAAATTTCACTTTACAAAGGAGAGAAAAAAATGTCATGGCTAATCTTTGGAATATGGTAACAAGTACTTTGGTGACATTTTGGTAAGGCGATAAAGGTTACTTACTAGCTAGGACTTTAGCAGTGTAGATGGATAAAGTCAAGAGTGTGCGCAATGCCATTTTTGTGCAATTCTGGGATTTTTTTTAAGTGAAAATGGTCGATAAGGTCGATGTGCACATGGATACTGAGTATGTGCAATTCTTAAAAATGCGTCAAACAGTCGGTGATTCTGCACTTTATCCAGAATTTTATTGCTGAGTTTTCGTTGTGGGCAATCCCAAATTTTTAAATCCATAGGATATCAAAAAAGGCTTTAAAAGTTAAACTAATGTTTCAATGGCGTCTTAAGAAATATAGAACTATATAAACTTACGCACAAACTGAAATCAGCGCGTACGCTAGATTTGGCACGCTGTTAAATGGGGGCGTTTGCTAGATTTGCCGCTTTTGCGCGTACATTTTCGCTGCAATTTTTTTATGGCCCTCGAAACCGAAAAGTATCTTATTTCATTTCTAGTTTACAAATTTTATGTACAAACACTACATATTAATGTAATACTGTCCTGACCCAATATTACCATAATCAAGACGGAACTTCTTGAGACATTCAAGATTTTATATAGTAGAATTAATTCATAACTTTTTTGATTTAATATACCTAGCTGAATAATATTTGAGAACAATTAATACTAACTTTGGGACAAAATGAATTACATTTAATTTCAATAAAATGACACAAAACACACTGTTTGCAATATACCCCTTACCATCTATTAAATAATAAACATCTTAATTTTAAAGGTGTATGTTCGCACACCTTTAATATAAAGCAAAATAAGGGTTGTTTCAATTAGGAAAAACATATATAATTAAATTTCACTAATATACTAATTATGTTTACATGCATAAACTTCCATATTTTCAAAAATTGATATTAAAACTAGAACCAGAGAAAAGAAAGTATGATTTAAAAAATGAATTAACTCTTGTGACCATCATAATTCAAAGAAATTGCTATATGATACAAATTCAGATTTCAATCTAACGTATCTCTGTCCCATAATTTAAATATCATGTCCCATTTAACATACTTTATTACACTAAATTAAATGACAGCACACTAATAGAATTCTGACGAACAGAATTCATCTTCAAATCATGTCAATAATGGATATATTAATTTCTAAACAATAATTTACCTTTCAGCTTCTGCAGACCATGTCACAGCATCTGAAACTGGTCTATTATCGGACACTTTCCAGCTACACTGAACAATCATATTAATTTGAAATATACTAAGGAATAAGAAAAGTTTCAGCGGAGGACGTAGGAGTTAAGATGGTGAGTATAAAAGGAAAGTAATTTTTGCATGATTATAAATAAACTTTCGCCTTGACTGACATGCACAGAATAGTTTTAATGTTTTCGTTTCAGTTTATATCTCGCGCGAAAGAAAGGATATTATTGTTCAAGTACAGCTAATGAAATTTAAAAGATATTTCAGAAAGTATTGTTACTTAAGCTTAAGAAACAAAAATATTTCAAATACTAAAATGCTAAAAATTTTATTTCTCAGAGAAATTTCAACGGCACTAGTTAAAAATAGTGAGTTGTTAGGCACTTTGAACAGTAACTGTAACCGTATGTATAAAAAGTAACTGTTTACAAATTTTTCAGACAGGAATTATTTTTTGCGTGTGTGTTAAAGTGAGTATTTATCTTAATGTACATACAGGGATTAAAATGACTAAAACAGTTTATTGTTAGGAGTATGTTGCATTGTTTGAAAAAGGATGTGCAAATTCTGACAGACTTAGGAAGAATTATAAATTCGAGCATGTATAAGTTATGAACCGGTGTTTGGTTAATTTTTGTTATAAATAATTTGTCGTTGCTCTTTGAGGTAAATAGAGATATTCATATGGTTTTGATTGATATTATAATGTTAAAATTTATACTTATAATTGTGGCAGTTCATCGTTTTATGGATTGCAAGGAAAGAGTAGTACATTTCGGTGTGGAAAGAACTAGAAAGTCTCACACGAGAAAGCGATTACCGTGCCGTAATAAATTATTTTCGCTTTCTAGAACAGAAAAGCGCTTTGCTGCTACCTAAAATGCTTTTATTCTTATTATTATAGAAATTAATTTGAAATGGAAATTAAATTTACCGGCTGTTGAAGTTCGAATTGGCCTGCAGTAAAAACAACTTAATTTCATAACTTCTTTATAAGGTGAACACCAAACCAGGGTACTAAAAGAACCGCATCAGTCTCATTCTCGTGTATTTTAACAAAACAATACTATTTGAATCAATGCAATTAAATCTAAATCACAGAAATATATGCACATGTGTTTATATATATAATAAGCACACAAATGTTTAGAATTATCATGTTCTAATGGTTTATACAAAACAAAATAAATTATAAGTCGTCAATTATACATTATAAATAATGTGTCACTTATTTATTTTTTGGTTAACCTGACTTGCTTTAATATTTTGGCTTTGGAGATAATGTAGTCATGAAATTCTTGGCAGTTGAAATCATAATTTGTGAGCACTTAAAAGAATGGACTGTACGATTGAAATGTCCAATTGATTCCACTCGTCTGTTCACTCTACATTCATTAGAGCAAATATCCGTTCAACAGTGTTATGAGTTAGTGTTATGAGGTGTAATTAAAAACGTGTACAGTCAAAAGTCGTTAATTCGGACACCCATAATCCGGACCTCAAAGCTGCATACTTTCTGCGCACGCGTCACGTTGACGCATGCGCAGGAGGCGCATAGGTGTTTACGTGTGCGCGTGCGCATAAAACGTTTACGCATGCGCGTTTAATGCATAATGGACGGTATAAGCTAAGCTAAAATTATCTAAATCAGTTAATGTTGCAGATTGCTTTGTTCCTTAATCTTCTAATTGGATCCGGCTTATTATTTTTTGCAGACTGTTGGAGCAATTTTATAAAAGTAAGCTTGAACTTTCGATTATATCAAATAGAATTTCCGATATATATTTGCTAATATGTAAAGGATCTAAAGCGAAAGTGTTTCGAAATCCGAAATCTGTTTATCAATTTCATGCTGCTCGGCGGGGGGAACGCCGCGGCGCGCAATGGATTGGAAGTTGATCTGTCAGCACTATCCTTATCTTCAGGGCAGATGTTTTTATTTTATTTGGCTTATAATTCCTTACTAAATGTAGTATTTCATGTCGATGTACTCCGTCTTTGATATGATTTAAAACAAGTTCCTCGTCATTATAATTCGCTTCCGATAGTGAAGAAAGTGACAGAGGTTATTGAAAACGAAAAAATTTCGATTGACAAATTAGTCGGTATTCTTGACACACCAATTATAGGACTTGAACAGCGGAATTTTATAACTAAACAAGAAATTATGTGTGTTTAATAGAATTAAAGAGAAAGTATTATCACACGAAACGAAGCAACTTAAACAACTTACATTGAAAGAAATGTTTAATAAAGTAAACAAATAAATATTAAGCTTTTTCTTTTTGTAAATTTTGATACCCTTTAGATCATAATTGTTCTTTATTTCATAAATGACGGTTTCATATTTTTAATTTTGTAATTTCTGCATGCCATCTTACCAGATTTAAACTGATGATCTATAATCCGGAATCGCCAAAGTCCCGACGAATCCGGATTAATGACTTTTGACTGTATTAATGTATTTTCAGATTCTTCAGCGTGTTTACTACATTTAAAAAGATCCACCCATTTTTCGTAACAAAGAATATTCTCCTTTTCCCATCGTGCAGATTTTTCAATTATTATTTTCTTTACATTATTCATTTGATTAAAGAGTAGTGAATAATTTACTTTAATTGCTCTTTCTTTGACATAAAAACAGGTGGTCTCAACTTCCTCACAAACGGGTTTTTTTTTAAAAGTAACATCTACTAGCATTTGGTTCCTTCCACATAAAAAGGTATTTGTACACTGTTTTATAAAAGTCATCAATTTCACTCTTATAATTAGACAACATTGATTGTGATATTTCATCTTTTTTCTCTTGTAAGACATTTTTAACACTGATTGTAAGAAAACGTTCATCAGACCTTTTTTTAACGATGGTTTGCGTCTCTTCCAATATTGAATAAACTTCGATGCAGCATTTCTTGTTACCTTGTTTTTTATTAATTCCTTTTTCAAAAACATGCAATAGACTATGAATAAACTATAGATAGGCTTCACTGAAGCAGAGGCGTAGCTAGGGTTTTCAGTGCCCGGGCACAACTGAAGATTTTGCACCCCCTTCTGTGTGCCAAGAATGGAAAATATTTCATTCTAAAATTTTTTAATTATAATTTGGTACCCTCTCGATGCTGTGCCTGGAGACAGATGTCCCCCTTTTCCGCACTCTGGCTACGCCTCTGCACTGAAGGAATTATTGAAAAATGTTAATAAGGTTTTCGGAGCTCTTTCCTCAGAAAGAAAAAAAACTTTTTATTCCCTCAAAAATTTTTAGTATCTTTTCTAGTGCAGGAAGCAATGAGAGCGAACGTGTGCTTGAATGAAACAAGATTTTTATAATTCACAGAAATACGATTTTCGGCTGATCTTTGGAATATGGTAACAGGTAGTTTGGCGACATTTTGAAGGCGATAAAGGTTACTACCTAGGACTTTGGGAATAATGTGAGAAGTTCAGTTCCGATTACGCATTATTTTGTGTGAGGGAAATGAGAGATCATGAGATATGTCATGTGATATTAATGGACGAATCACTGTTCTTTAATCGGAAAAGGGGATATATTTGTAAAAATATCTGCTGTACTTTATAGCAGCAGTTTCATTCTATGTTCTGTGAAACAGTGTTGTTTAATATTTGGATCCCATGGCCGTATATAAAGTAAATCCAAATTTTATTGCGTTTAATTGTAATTGAAAAGAATTGCTTAATTGCGGATAAGTATGAATGTCCAATATGTGGGAATGAAATGAGATTATGTGAAAGGAAGGATATTACAGATAGTTTGAATTGCGGTGCAAGAAACCTGGTGAAACTGGACATTTTGTGATCCGCCATGCACTCAAGATTCAGTAGAAGATTAGGTAAGTTAGTATTTTTAATTATTTGAGGATATTATTTTTATGCATTGTTCTAAATGTAAGGAGTAAATAAATTAATATGGTATTATTGGAAAATTGTTATTGGCAATGATTTAGTTTAAAGTAATTAGGATTGTAAGCTAATTTTTATTAATTTAATGTATGTGCTTATTTATATTTTAAGTAGTGTTTTTTAATTTAATTATATTTTAATTTAATGATCCTGTTTTATAGAGTTATATGTTTGTAGTATTTTGGAATATGTTTGAGTAGAAGTAAATGTGCATGGAAAGAATTTAAGTTTTTGACACTAAGTATTTGTAATCATTTTTAATGTTTTGTTATAAATTCATTGGTGACGTTTATAATAGATAATTTAGAGGTAAAAGTTTTTGGATATTTTATTTATTTTATACGTGCAAATGTCCATCCTTGGAAAGGGTATATACTTTTTTGTGATCAGGTAATTTCATATATGTCCTTTTTACCGAATTTAAAGATTCACAAAATTTTGATGCATTTTCGTGAAATTTTTCTAATTTATGAGAAAAAAGCAGTGTACATGGATATAGTGAAGAGTGTGTGCAATGCCATTTTTGTGCAATTCTGGGATGTTTTTTTAAGTGAAAATAAGTCGACGTGTACATGGTTTAGTGATATTTTAATTAAATGATAGTTATTTTGTGAATTTTATGTTTGTAGGAATTTGGTATACGTTTCAGTTGAAGTAAACGTGTATGGAAATAATTTAAATATTTGACACTAAATATTTGTAACTATTTTTAGTGTTTGCATATAAATTCGTTGGTGACGTTTATTATATAATAGATAATTTAGAGGTAAAAGTTTTTGGATATTTTATTTATATTATACGTGGAAATGTTCATCCTTGGAAAGGGTGTATACTTTTTCGTGATCAGGTAATTTCATATATGTCCTTTTTACCGAATTTAAAGATTCACAAAATTTTCATGCATTTTCGTGAAATTTTTCTAATTTATGAGAAAAAAGCAGTGTACATGGATATAGTGAAGAGTGTGTGCAATGCCATTTTTGTGCAATTCTGGGATGTTTTTTTAAGTAAAAATAAGTCGATGTGTAAATGGTTTATGTGTATGTGCTATTTTGAAAAACGTGCAAGGAGTTTGCGATTGTGCACTTTTCCCAATTTTGCAGCTAATATTTGTCATGATTAAGCAGTTTTGTTACATAAAATTTCTAGCATAAGTGTAATTCGGTTAGTAGATTGTCGGAAAAAGTGTTCAGTATATAAAAAGAAAAGAAACATGTCTTTACTTCGTGAAGACAAAATGGTGGTGGGAAAAAAAAAAAAAAAAAATAGAGGGTTGCCATAGCAGAGTTGGTCGCCAAATTTTCACCAAAAAATCGCCAAGTTACCATAATCCAAAGATCAACCCGATTTTCTTATATGATAATATAATTTATGTTTCATTTGTTTTTACATTATTGCCTAAAAGCCTAGAATATTCTGGTTAGAATTTGCAACTAGTATTAAATATGGTAAAAGTATATTTATAGGTACCCCTTGGCCAAAATTGGCCATTTTTGGTGGCACATGGATACCGAATTTGTGCAGTTCTTTGACTTGTTATTTTGGCTTTGTATAGCAGTGATTTTAGTGCCAAAAATTGTGCCACACAAAGACAAAGTAACAAGTCAAAGAATTACACAAACTCGGTATCCATGTACACATTGATCTGTTTTCACTTAAAAATACATCACAGAATTGCACAAACTAGGCATTGCACACTCTTTTGACTTTATCCATGTACACGTTGGCCTATTTTCACTTAAAAAGTC